CATTTCCACTACTCTTTCCGGATAGATTCAGCACCCCACCCCTGCCTTTAGTGTTTGAGTTTTCCATGAGATGTCTGGGTTCACCTTGCACAGCTGGCCGATGGGAGGTCAAGCCTGGGGTTCCGAGGCCCAGCTATCCATTGGCAGGCAAAGCAGCCACAGAGCGGCTTCTTGGAGTCCTGTGCTTGACTCCCCACTGAAGACCCCAGGGGCAAGCGGCCTTCCTTCCTCACCCTCACTCCCTTTTCCAGAAAAGGATCCGAAGTCCAGACTGCTTCTGGGACATAGACCTCCTATACTTGGCCACCAGAAATGTCACTACAAGTGGCCTAGGAAGGTTCCATGAAACTCAACGTGTAACCGCCGCCATGAGAGCATTTAGAAGTGATTTCAGGAGGGGGCAACCACATGAATTCAGCGTCACCTAGCAGGGCAGGAATGCCTCCATGATGAGAAGAGCTGGTTTCTGGTGGCTCAGAGGCATTGGATAGTGACCACTGTGGACAGGTTAGGACCATGGCTTGAAGGGATGTATAAAGAGTGTGAGCGTTAGGTTTCCAACATTTCTTTCAACAAACTTGTGTGCTTCTTCATGCTGTCACCAACAGTTTAAGTCCTTTATTTGCAAGCTTGACATTGGTGAAAGCTTGCGTCCAAGTGTCTTCCTGAACTTCAGGGGTGTGGGAAGGTTTGATTTCCTGAAAATCTGCAAATCACCTTGAAGAATTGCCTTTATTCCCAAAGATGGAGCCATTTAGAGATCTCTGTTCAAGTGTAGCCTGGGAAGGCCACGTCAGGCCAGTGAGCAGTACTAGGCTGGCTCAGGTTCACCCACCAGAATAGGCCCTAACTCCTCTCCCCCAGAATGATACCCTCTTGGTGAGTGGGAATGAGTCAGCCTGTTAACTGCCCCTAGGGTCCTGGCTGTTCTCAGAGTCCCAGAAAAGAAAAACCAGAACATGGGGCCCTACCCAGTAGTGTGGGCAGCTCTGCCAGTTAGCCTTTGCCTGCCTGCAAAAGAATGCCATCAGCTATAATGAGTACCTTGTATTTCCAGTGGCAAGTGGGCCACAGTGCTGGTGGCATGTTGCTCCCTTCACAGCCCTGCCTGGGGTAGGACTGACTAGGCCACCCCCTTGATGGATGTCCTATTGATTGTAATATACTTCTGTTGCCAAATAAAGGTACTATTTAATTTTCCACAAAAGGGAGACTACATTGTCTGCTATGTAATTTAGTGGCGTTCTAAAAGTTACTAGATCCTATTATAAACTGTAGACGTATGTATTTGTCTAAGATTTGATGAAACAGGGCCAAAACATTAGGTTTCTTGTTTTGTTCGTTTAAAAGAAGTTGAAGTTGTTTTGCTGTTTGTGTTCTTTTGGCACCTTATTCTGTGTGAAATGTTAAGTTTTACAGATTCAGATTTTTTTTTTCTTTTTTACTTCCTTTCTTCCTTTAAATCAGTAGCAACGTCAGTACAATTTGCTATTCCTGTGCATCTTGAATCTAAAAAGAACTATCTCATCAAGACACCTCTTTGGTCATTTTGACCTGTATGGTTTAAATTCACATAGTTCATGAATAAAATGAGAAAAGTCAACCTTGCAACAGTGGATTATTTGGGTTCGTTCTGCCCGCCTCCTCACACACATTGGAAGCTAACAGCCCTGCACATGGTGTCTCTTCCTGTGTGCTTCCTTTTCCCACAGATAAGGGCATAGTTGTACAAGGAAAATTATGTAAAAATAAACAGAAGAAGCAAAAATACCCAACAACCTTCTCATTTCTCCCATGCCTGCTTCAGCTAAATGTTAGCCCCAAATAGAAACAGAGCTTCCTATGATATCCCCAACCATTTCTGAGAATATGAGTTCTGGGTTGGATAGCATAAGAAGTGCTGTGAGTGGCTGGGGAGAACCCAAAGGCTGAGATTGTCTTGTGAGGTCATTCAGAGGAATGCTGTGGGCTTCTACCGAGCTTCTAACAGAAACAACTCCACATGTTCAGAACTTGTCTTTTACCTCTGTGTGCCATTAGCAAACCCAACAGTGAATTTTATTGTATTATTTATAGCATTTTCTTCTGTTCTGCTTTTGAGGCAGTTTCTTCCAATTTTTATCACTGATTTAACTGTCTGTAAGTAAATCCTTTAAACTTCCTGGCTAGTTTGGACACTAGCTGTATTGTTACAGTGCATGTAACATATCTTTGCCTTTTTAAAATCAGTCTGTTCCCATTTTTGATAAACACAAAACGCTTAGGCCCTTTTCTTGCTTATGTGAAGGTTTAAAAATAAATTAAACCCGGCATGGTGGTTCACTCCTGTACTTGCAGCTACTTGGAAGGTTGAGGCAGGAGGATTACTTGAACTCAGGAGTTAGAGGCCAGCCAGGACAGCATAGTGAGACCCAACCTGAAATAAGAAAACAAACAGCTGTTAAAATAAATAAGATAAATAAAAAGTTTCGCACCTAAAAACACCTAGCTCAAGTCTACTGTCTCCCTCACAGAACCATATTGACAACACAGTATACAACGTGATACCTATTTGATCAAATCTGGAAGCTAGTGTAATTTGGTAGTCACTATTTTAGTCTGTAATATTTTCTTCAATAACAATATTTGTTAATGCAGAAAATTTAGCAAGCTCAGAAAAATACAGAGAAAATAAAATTACTTAATGGAGATTGGTCTTTCATGCAAAAGTGTGAAAATTAGTTTTCTCTTTTTTGTGGTGTTAGGATTTGAATTCAGGGCCTTCTGCTTTCTCTACACTTGAGCCACGCCCCCAGTTCTTTGTTGTTTTGGTTACTTTTCAAGTACAGCATTGCTTTTTTGCCCTGGGCCAGCCTGGACAATGACTTTCCTACTTACGCTATGTTGTCCAGACCGGTGTGGAACGTCCCGGGTAGCCTAGGCTGGTCTTCAAATCTGTCTTCCTGTCTCAGCTTCCCGAAAGTTAGTTTTAATGGAATTCATTTCTGTGTTTTTCCCACGTGTATGCGTGGCACAGGAACTTTACTCTTGTACTATTTAGTAGTTAACATGCGTTGAGTGCTTTCCATGTATATTATTGAATTCGTTATTTGTATAAATCTCTCATTTCATTTGTCTTTTAAGTCAGCTCTACACTCTTTCACAATGTAATGTATGGACTCTCTGCATCCCACTGCCTGAATTGGGTACAGGCACTGGTCTAACTATAGGTAACCTAATTTACCCTCTCTTATTTAAAGAGCCCCGAATGGCTGTTTAGAGTGTAGCTAAATGCTGTGAAGAACTTCACCGTAGGTAATCTCTGGGTCATTGCTGATGACCTCATGAGAGTATCTGAAGCATTCTATCAGCTCCCCCATTTATGTGTGGAATCAGCAGGAAGGTGGCTGAGTTTGATTCTCAAGAATTTGGGAACCAGCAAGAGGCTCCTCCAGAGATAGCTCGTGCATCAGTCTGTTTGTAGAAGCAGAGTTTTTGACAGTACTGGGATTTGAACTTAGGGCCTTGGGCCTGGTAGGTAGGTGCTCTACCACTTGAGCCACTCCATCAGCCCTTCTGCTTTGTCAGCTAGGGTCTTGAGTTTTTGCCTGAGCTGGCCTGGCCCAGGACCCTCCTACCTCTGCCTCCCCAAAGCTAGAACCACAGCATGTGCACCTACATTCAGCTTAGTGAGGTGGGGGAAGGGGGTCTTGCTGTTTTTGCCCCAGCTGGCTTCGAACCACCATCTTCCCAGTATCTGCCTCCTGAGCAGCTGGAATTGCAGGTGTGTATTACCATGCCCTGCCTGACCTTGTGATTTTAATGTGTATGATGCTGTCAAGTACAGGGTCTCACAGCAGTCAGGAGGCAAGCTGGAAGGCGGTGAGTCTTGGGAAAGCAGGAATCATGGTGAGGTTACATTCTCAGTTGTTGAGACAGAGCCCACTGAAGCAGGACCAGCTTTGGTGACAGGTATAAGTTCCCCTTGTGTTAACAGCCCAGAGGCTCAGCAGGAAGGCTGGTAGGGTGACTGTGCCTGTCATCACCTGGCTTTTGCATTATAGATTGGCTGCTCCAGCTCACACCATCTCATCTACATCCAGCCAGAGGGAAAGGGGACCAAGTGAGAGGATTGCCAGCCTACTGCTGGTGAAGGTAACTCAGGCAGGACACACACTTCCCTCTTCTCTCCCATTTCCTATGACTTAGCCCTGTGGTACACAAGGGAGGCTTGTCACTGTAGTCTTGCTGAGTGCTCTTGTGCCCACCTGCATGTTAGGGGTGGCTACTGCGCTGAATGGCAGCCTCAGCACTCTTGGCTCCTGGGAAAGTGCTGAGGCCTGAGTGGTCTCAGTTGTCCTGTTAGGCTCTCCTGCAGCACATGTGCCATGTCACTGGCAGTAATCTGGTCATGACAATACACTGGCAACAGCACTAGTGCAGAGGGGTGTAGCCCTGTGTCCTGTAAAGTTTCCTAGTTGCAGTTGTCCTGCCTCTGCTTGAGCAGAGCACCTCTGGGAAAGGAACCAGTTTGTCAGGCAAACACTTGCAAGGTGACTAAGGGATAGCTCCTGGGACTGCTGCCTGGGGACTCTTACTTTCTCCAGTAGCCTCAGCACCAAAATGTGTGGGATGAGCTGATCTGGGAGCTGCTTTGGCCACAAGTGGACTGAGAGCACCTTAGGGATAAAGTGGGGAGGAAAACAGGGACTTGACTGTCACCTTAGCCTGTTGGCTCCAGCAATGCACCAGTGTTGGTGGATTGAAATGAGATGGGGAAGAAGAGACCTGGCCCATGGCGTTATTCTGAAAAAATCTCCAGGCTCCTCAACCCCTCTCCTCCTCTCCAGGGTGGGGTGACGTCTGCCCCTCCCGCATCACAACGTTAAGAAGCTTAAGTAAGCTGCTCATGAAATGGTCTTGAATGCTAAGGACATCCTACAGTCAGTAGGGCCTCCCCGGAGGACTGATGGAACTCTAGGGACTGGGGACCAGGAGTCCTCCACTACTCCTTTAAAGCCAGGAGGTTTTAGCAGGCAGAACCAGACCTTGTTGAATCAGTCTGTATGGGTGTTATGTTTAATCAATCAATTAATTCCTAAGAATGATCTACACAAACCAAATTCTTCAGCCCAAAGGGCTTTTTTAACCTTGAAAGTGAGGGGATTCTGGAAGAAAGATGAAAACAAGGCTCTTTGTGTTTCACTTTGAAAGACAGTAAACACGATGTGTTCAGGAAGCATTTTACTGTTGCTCCGAGTGCAGGAATTTCCACTGATGATGGACACCAGAGTGCTCACATAACTGCCCGCATGGCCCTGCTCAGTTTCTGAATCTTGGTCTTTGCAGACATGTCAACAAACTTCTCCCCAATACGGACAATCATTCCACCCATGATTGACGGATCAGTCTAGGAAAGAAAAATAGGTTGGAAATGTGAAAATACAAAGACATTATTTTGCTGATCATATGGACAGATGAAAAGGTGTTTTGAAATGGCCAAGCGTGCTTCTTGAGTAAAGGATGTTACAGCTAGAAACAACAGATGTGAAACTGCCCGTGGCATCAGGTATCTATTTAAATTTAAAGTATCATATCTAATAGCCATTGTCTGTCTGTAGCCATTTTAAATGTCAACTAGCCCAAAGAAACATACTATAAATAATTAAAACCTACCTTAACCTCCAATTTCAGTACTTGGCCTTGACTTAGGAAGCTCTTCAGAACCGTCTTTAATTCGGAGAGAACAGCATCATCTAAAGGCTGAAAAAGAACAAACCAACCTTTAAATTTAAACTTAAATAAAGGAAAAAAGAAACTCCAGCATGTCAACTCCAGCATGAAGCGTGAGTGGGCACGCTTCACCAAGACAGGCCTTGTGAATTCCTGCCTGAAATGCGGGGACCAAAGTGAACTGCATTACCACACTCCTGTGGGCGCCGCTGGTGCGGGAGGCCTGGCCACATGAGACCTACTGGAAGCTCCGTGAAACCGTGCTCTTAACACTAGATAGAACTATTAATCCAGACGAGGTCAGGTGCTGCATACTGCAACTAAGTCCACCACAATCTACTCACGATTAAGTTCCACACTGTTTTCCTGTACTGATTGAACTACATCAGGAAAAAAATTACTTGTGGTGAGGTGATAGTGTGTTTCAGGAACATGGACTTCTGAGAAAGAGTTGTGTTCAAATCCTGGACCCAAATTGTATAAATTACTTAAATTTCCCTGGTCTACAGTTTCCTGGCCTATAAAATAAGGACAATTATTATTTCTACCTCATATGGATTTTTTTTTAAAAACTTTTTGGCAGTACTGGGGTTTGAACTTAGGGCCTTACAATTTGCTAGTCAAGTGCTTGTCCTAAGCCCTCATATGGATCTTTTTATATAAAACTAAGTAATAAATTAAAGAACCTCTGCACTGTACCCTTTCCCATCTACCAGGATGACAGATGAGAGATGAGAAACTCTAGTTTTAGTAAGCTACCTAATATGGCACTTAAAAAATAATTCAAACCTATAGTGGAATGTACACACTATTCTGAAACACACTTTGATGTTCTTTAACCCTGACTGTAGTCCCTACGAATAATCACTGATACTGAAGCACGAGGACGAGGAACATACCCTCTGGCTCCTCCAATGCAAAGCTTCACGGAACCTCATAAAAGGATGAAAAGAACCTCCCATGTGCCAAGTCACCTTTCCCGATTTCTTGATTTTATCCTGTTTATCAAGGCACATGCAGCAGCAACTTGCTACTTACAGAGGCAGTAGTCACTGTGCAAGGTACTTCTCCACGGTGGACACTCATGATGGTAGAAAAGGCAGAAATGATTCCCTGGGTATTGTCCAGACGACCATTTTCAGCAAGTAAAACTGGGAAAGTGAAGGTGTATCAGTGACATGATATCACCCAAAAAGCAAACTTTGATTTTTTTTGGCCTTAGAACACCATATTCAATGAACTTTAAGAAGGTGAATAGAGAAGCTATAACTTAATACATTCACTGTCTTTTTTAAAAAAAGAACGCCCTGACAAGCATTTAAATTAGCAAATATTTGTGTATGCACACACATACAGGGTTCTCACCCACACAGATCTGCAACAGACTTCTTGCACTCAGCTTGCAATGATTTTCATATTTATGTTATAGACGCTAATGGTTGGCTACCAATCCCCAAATTAGCATACTGTCTACATTCAAAGATGTCATGAATATACTTTTAAAGGTGTATTTTGACTTGGCCATGAGGATATGAAAAGCAAATCGAATATACCAAAGGATACAATTATCTTCAAGGTCCACGGGATAGCTACTAGCCACAAACTCATTTTTTGGGGTACAAATCCCACTAGTGTCTTCCACGGATGAAACCACTACCTATGCAGAGAGGCGTCCTTACATCTTAGCATTCTTTAGACTTTGCTCCTCAGACTGTCAGCTTGGGGAGCTGGTGAGTGCAGATTTGGACTCAGCACATCGGGCAAGCCCAAGCCCACAGATTCTTCACTGCCAACAGCTGAATGGGCTCCTGGGCCATGGAGTCCGTTTCTGGTAGCAAAGTTTAAGGAAGCTCAAATGAAAAAGTTCTAATACTTACTCATGAGGTTGGAGGTGAGCGGGGAAAACTTCTCTTTTGTTGTGATGTCGCTCAGGCTTTTCATTTTAATGGAACGTTTAATGTAGGGATTCAGAATAGAAGTAGACATTTTGGGGTCCTTCAGGAGTTGCTAGAAGTACCCAAAACAATCTCTTTAATTCTTTAGCACACAAATGATCTTAATTTTACAAATTAAGAAAATCAGCATGTAAGCATATGTGAAGAGCAGTTTATTATCAAACACATTTCTCTCACTGACTTCAGGAATACATTCCAACACGACTCTACAAAAACATAAAAATGACATTCCTTAAAAAATTTCAGAATGTCTTATGAAGTTTCATACATGTATTTTTGTTTTTCAAAAAAGATCATAAAAAAAATTAAGCATCCCAAACCATCACTGCATGGTTTATTTTTATGTAACACAGGTAAGACTCTAGTTACTGCAGACCTAAAAAAGGTGCTCTGACTACAGAGTAGGCCTCTGTGCCATTCCTGGAAGGGTCTCTGTGTTCTAGGTGACAGATTCTGCTCTCCCTCTTACAGAGCCGGAGGATCAACCCAACTTGTGAGAGGCTTATGGTCTGGGGCAGAGAGCAGACAAAAAGTGGAAGTGCAGCAACCATTTTGTTAAATCACAACGGCGTGAATTCGGTGACATGTGGCTTCCAGCACCTGGCCACCCTTAGCATCAGGCCACAGCTTCAATGAACCCAAAATGATTCTTTCCATCTGGGCATCTTTCATTTACACAACTCTGTCTTCCAATTTCTCTGCTAGTACCTCCTCCCAGGCTCCTGGCCAGAATCCAGGCTGCTTGCCTCTCTCTGCCATCCAGTGCTAAGATTTCCACTTTGAGGCCCCACAGAAATGACCACTGTCCATAGAACCGAGGCCTTTATAAATTAAAAGCATCTTGGAACTTCATCCAGTTTCTCACACTTATCATCGTGTGGACATTCAGTGCGACATTTGTGAGGTATCAGACTTCCTTCTCAGTGACCCCGAAATACTCATTTTCATTTGTGAACAGTCTTACAGTAATTGTCTCCCTTCTTTTTTTCCACATTCTGAATGACTTCCAGGTTTCAGTCAAACCCCATCCTAATGTTCTCATCCCAAGTCATCCCCTCCACTGTGAATACCACTGTTTGTGTTGAAAATGGGTGTAAATGACAAGGAGCAATCCATAATCGCCATCTCCACAAAGGCCTGTGTGAAAGCCTGCCTGCTCCTGCCACCTTCCCTCCAGGTGTCTCTAGCAGGGAGGGTGGTCCTACTGTCTCTGAGGATTATCACTCCAGCTAAGACCATAAGCAATACCTGCAGATGCCTGGATAAAGGAGAGAGTATGAAGCTAAATTTTATTCTGCTATGGCAAAAGCTCAAAAATCAAAACTGAACAAAGTAGTATAGAACAATACTTACAATAAAGTAATTAATAAAGAACATATGTATTATTCTATAAAACTAATATATTTCCTCCTTCAACAATAAAATTTTTAAATTTCAGTAATATATGGATTAGAAAATACAAGATGTCCTTAAAACATACAGACATACCTTATTGCCCAAGGTGGCAACTAAAGGGAGAGGAAATGTATTAAAATGCATAAAATCTCCTTTTTCTTTTTTTGGTGGCACTGGTTGGAACTCATTTTAAACTTGCTAGGCTCTAGCACTTGAGCAACACCTCTAGTCCTCAAAATACAAAACGTTTCTTTTTTTTTTTTTTGGTGGGAATGGGGTTTGAATTCAGGGCTTTGTGCTTGTAAAGCAGGCACTCTACCATTTGAACCACATCTCTAGCCCATTTTGCTCTGGTTATTTTGGAGATGGGATCTTGTGAACTATTAGTCCAGGCTGGCCTTCAACCATAATCCTCCTGATCTCAGCCTCTCAAGTAGCTAGGATTACAGGCGTGAGCCACCAGCACCCAGGTAAAATCATAACATTTCTTAACTAGAAAAACTAGTGAAAAATAAAGCAGAGATTCTCTCATCAAAGTGACACATAAGATTCTGTTCATTTACTTATTCTTTTTTTTCATTTAAAAAAATAGATATATTATTCCTGGTGGCCTCAAGGTCTTTCTTGTCAGTTTTTTATCTCATTAGGAAGCTCAAAGCCCTGTCCTCTCTTTACTGCCCAGTGTGCTCTGCTCAGTCATTCTTCCCTCATATTTTGGGAACAAAATAACTAAAACCCAGGAAAAGGCTTCATAAGGAAAATTCTCAGCACAGCAAACTTCTAACATATTTGAAAGACATTTAAAAAAAAAACCTGGCTTACAAGTATACATTTTTAAAGGTGACCTTTTAATTCCCTTCTAAAATGGCAAGTTTTCTTAAATTCCACCTTGAATTTTGATTTTATACTTCTGTCTTTTCTTAATTGGAAATCTTGGTTCCTAATATTAATGTTCTTATTATGTGTGTCTTCTTGTTCTTGTTACACAATAGTTCCAGAAAAATAAAACCCGGTATTATTACTAACATGTTCACAGAAAACAGTTTTTTTTGTTGTTCTTCCTGGCAGTTTCTTTAGGCTATACCTCATTAGGGATGTACATTCAAATAGCGAAAGGCAAAAATGTATGAATAGGAACGTAACATGTAACAAACAAGAACGGTACTTACAGCTATTCTCAGTAGCTCCTTTTCTACTTGTTCCAGTTTATTCTGTTTAGATGCAGCAGAATAAAGAGCAGTGGCATAGCGACCTTCAATGCCATATACCTGAACAGGGGGCTTTAAACAAAAAAGGTGGGATAAAGAAGGAAAAACAGTTAAGTATAATAATACATTATACTGTCAAGAATATAATCAGAGCAGGGCTGGGTGGCTCATGCCTGTAATCTCAGTTATAAGGGAGGTAGAGATCAGGAGGATAGAAATTAGTTGACAGCCTGGACAAAAAGTTAATGAGACCCCCATCTGAACAAATAACCAGGGCATGGTGGTGCACCTGCTATCCCAGCTATGCGGAAAGCCACAGGTAGGAGGATCATAGTCTAGGCTGTGCCCCTAGGCAAAAGCAGGAGACTCTATTAAAAATAACTAAAGCATAAAGGGCTAGAGGTGCGGCTCAAGTGGTAGAGCACTTGTGTAGCACGCATAAGACCCTGAGTTCAAACTCCAGTACTGCCTAAAAAAAAAAAAAGAATCAGGGCTGGGGATGTAGCTCAGTGACAGAGTGCACTCCCAGCATGCAAAAGGCTCTGGGTGGTCCAATCCCTAGCACTGCAAGAAAACAGAAAATGAAACAAGAATAGAATTCAGTGTCTATAATTTAAAGAATACGTCTCATAACACAAGACAGTCTAAATATGTCATCAAAGAGTAACCTTAAATGGCAATTCCCAAATGAACTAGGGACATTTCCTTGGCCATGACTGTATTTTTGAGCTTCCAATTCCTCACCAGTAAAATCAGGGGTTGAGAAAACATGGTGTCCAAAGTCTCTTTTGACTCTACCTGCAGTAATTCAATTATTTTAATTTTAAGATGAGTTTATGCTTTCTTTGAACTCCAATGATTCAGTTCCAAGTATGGGAGATTTTAAACACTGATGGAAGGCAGTTTGGGAGATATTAAAGCCAGGAAAACAGGCATTTATAAAAACACGTACAAGTATACTTTTACACATTTCAGAGAAAAACTATAAATTTCCCCATCAATGTTCATCTTTGGCAGTGCTGGGGACCAAATCCAGAGCCTTGTACATGGTAGGCAAGCACTCTACCACTAAGCTATATCTCCAGCCTTTGGTTTTTTGACACAGTGTCTCAATATGCAGCCCAGACTGGCCTTGAACTCGCAATCCTCCTGCCTCAGCCTCGCCAGTGCTGGGATTATAGATGTGCACCTCCGGTGTTCAACTTAATAGAGCCCTTTAGCAAGTCACAAAGTGCCTTAGATTTGAATTGTTTTTCACAGTAAACTGTTGACTTTTTTGCTACACAAGACACAGTACCGTCAATGTATGACTACAGGTGCTTAGTGATGTCTTACAGTTGTAGTGGGAAGGTTAGACTTTGAATCACAAAGATTGAGTGCAGTCCAGCTCAAAGACTAAGCAATTGCAGGTAAAATTTCCCACAGCCTCAGTTTCCCCTATTGTAAAATAGTAAGACCAGTTACCACCCTACCACCCCTGTTACAGTTTTAGAAATTCTCACCTGAAGGATAAAAATGACACTATTTCCAAAGGTTCTGAGAGATTTGGCACTGGTAATAAGGGTTGGGGTATGATGATTACTAACTTCCATCTGGTTCACTCAGCTCTGCTATTTTCATCTTTTCCTTATGCTATTTTTCAAGGAGGGAATTATCAGCCTGCTGACTGGGATTGGTGGTGGACAGGAAAAGACGGCCTAGTACATCTTTGGTCCTGTGAGCTAAGAGAAGTTCAGGCTCTCTGATACTTGAATCAACTTTCTGTCACATGGAAATGCAGTCAGACTTCATGTTGTTACTGTCTGCATCAGGAGTCAACTAGGATACTTTTCATTTGAAAAGAAAGGGACTGGCAGATTTAAAAAAATATTTTAATTTTGCTGGTACTGGGGTTTGAACTTAGGGCCAGGAAGGTGCTCTACCACTTGAGCATGCCTCCAGTCTCAGATCTTTCAAATGTGAGCCTTTTTGGTGTTTAGTGAAACAGTGCCTTTGTCAGTAATGACTTTCTTTGGAAAAAAGGAGTGCAAAGGAGTAGAGTTACTAGCTTGGGGAGGGCAAGATGTAATATGAACAGTTGCAAGAGGATTGCAATGGAAACTGAGGTGCCTTGATTTTAATATCGACTCCTATAATAACTTACTGTGAGAACCTGGGCATGGCACTTTATTTTGTTGGAAATGTTTCTTCCATTATAATAACCAAAACCAAGCAGCCAAATAAACACAAAAAGCCTACCTTGTGTAATTTGGAGGATTAATGGGAAAAAGAAATGATTAAATAAAGTTCTTTTAAAGATTCTGCATGAGCCCATTGCACAACAAGCATCCAACATCATTCTTTCCCCAACCCCAGGCACTCATCACATTTTAGGAAGCACAAATCATGCACAGAAAGGTTTTGATACTAACTACACAAATGCCCAAGCTCTGACTGTACTGCTGTCTGACTCACATTGCATCTGTTTTACAATGAAAAGAATATAAATTAACATACCCTCACAAGCTTGGAAAAGGGCCTGACCACTGATGTACTGAAGCATCGTACCTTCAAAACAAAGGAAAATAGATCAAATGAGGTTACTTGAAAGATTTCTGCATTTAACTTTGTAGTATTAAGAAAAAAAGACTTCTAAATGATTGCTGTCATATGTTCCTTTATATTACCATATTTATTACATGAGCGTGAGTTACAGTAAATTTCCCTATTAAGAATCATCCCAAATTGCTTGAGAAATTGCCTTTCCACTAACTTCCTAGCTTGCTGGGGACGAGAGGTGGTCAGCACACAGGTATGAGAGAAAACACTACCTTCCAACAAGTACATGTTTCAAGAAAACTAACAAAATTTTTGGCATTTATATTGCCATACCTTTGAGCAGGATTTTAGTAAAAAGGAGAATGATTCTGGTCATGATTTGTGACACATGTATTTAAAAATTTCTTTCTTTGAGTACTGCAGCAAATAGAGTTTGATATGGCCAAGGGCCCTAGTTCTTATGGGATGGTATTTTGTCTGTCATGGGACAGAGTTGGAATCCATAGTTTAAAAGCACACGTAAGGGCACACGTCACCTTCACATACTTCCAGCTCTGCAATGTGAGGATTAAAAGTTTTTAAGGCTTTTGGAAAAATTATATAAGCTACAAGTAGTCATAATATGTAAAGGAGACTGGTGGATGCAGTACAAGAGTACAATTTTTTTTCCAGCTGTATTTTCTGTTTACTCTATGGGTTCCAATCTAAACACGAGTCCAGGATGAACCATTTAAGTGTCTTTTTATAATAAAAATATGAAATGTGCTTTACGAATACTGGACATTCCTGATCGAGCATTACTAGTGACCCTTGACAGGTTTTATGACCATGGCTAAGGAAGCTGAGCCGTGTCCTTTCTTCGGAGTATAGGGACGCCCAGCCTCTCTCTCCCACCCCCAAACCTCCAAAGCTAGTTGCCTCTCAGGGCACAGCTGCGAGGACACCAAGGTCACGGCCACTTACGGTCACGCGCATCACCCCAGCCCGCAGCCCCCCGTGGGGAGAAATCGAGTCCGCCCCGCATTGACCCCATTCGCCTGGCCCTAGGACTTGAACGGAGGCCAGACTCCTCCAGCCATGGCCTCGCACCCTGGACACTGGGGTACCTGTCACCCCAGGAAGGATCCTCCTGCTGGCTTCCCTCACCTGCCGGGAGAGCAGGGACATTGTCGGTGCAGCCATCTTCTCCCGGGCGGCTGTAGGTCAAACCAGAGTAGGAAGCGGGAGGGGCGCGAGCACGCACGCGCTTGCCGGCGTGGCCGCTAGGCGCTCTGGGAAATGACGCGAAGGCCATCAGAACGCATGCGCAGTGGGTTCCTGCTCACTGGGAGTTGTAGTCCGCAGGAGCCGCCCCGATCCTGGACACCAGGGATGGATCTGAAAATGAAATCCTTAAGTTACTGACTAAGCAGCCCTTAGTGTAAACGGATTTGCTACGCTTAGTTATTAAAGTCACGTTTAGATGAACACGGCAGTGGCATTTGTTCCACTTCACATTCAGCGTTAGCATCGCGGACCCCTAACTCCCTAGCCCGCCAAAGCGTGCATCAGTCTTTATTCTGTATAAAGAAAACAAACCCAAAAGAAGTCTCACAGTTCTGGGAGCAAACCCCGCATCTCGACAAGCATCCCTCCTTTCCCCTTCCCTCCCCCATCTCACAGGACATTTCCTGTTTAGTTTTGAAGGTGTGTGAGATTCTGTTGCGTAAATACTTGATTCTGAGTAGGGCGGAATCCGGGTTTAAGCAAATGGGTCACTGCAGTCATACAACGACCGTCTCCAGCCCCTTCTCCGTGAAGGGAGCATGCTCCACTTTTCTCTTCTGTAGAGAAGGACAGAGGCGGGGCGAGGGTCAGGGTTCCTGGCTGTAACAATGGGGGTCTGTGATCAAGTCAAAAGAAAAGCTTTTAGGGCTGGGCGTGTGGCTCAAGTGGTGGTGCGGGAAGTGTGAGGTCCTGAGTTCAAACCCCAGTACTGCCTAAATAAATAAGTTCTACTCACATCTAGTTGAGGAAAACAGATTCATTCATTAATTTATCCTTTGTAGAGTATCATTTTCACCATTACAATTTTTTTAAATGGAGAAAGTAGAAGGAATGCAAGTGCTGTCTTTTCTGCCGCCGAGAGGCAGCTTGCAGCCACTATTTTGGTGAATTGCTTCCCAACATATTTTCAGGCTGTAGACTGCCCAGGCTTGACTCTCAATGGTTCTGTGATCTTGGGTCAATCAATAATTTCTCTGTGCTTCAGTGTTCTTATCTATAAGATGGGTATTAGAATGGTACCTGCCTTACAAGTGGTCAGAAACATAAGGAAATTAATGTAAATGAACAATTAAATAAATAACTAATATAATAAAGACATATGCATAAGCAATTACCTTAAATTGCTGTACTCAACAATATTAGTTATTTTTACTACACATACAAATTCATAATCTCTATATAATTTAGTGTCTTGCCGTTTTCCTTAACAGGAGAAAAAAGGATACAGAATTCTATAAGGATTGTGAATACATTCTTACAAGCATGTTTCCAAGTTGCAAAATTTTCACAAACATAATTTTAATGGCTAGAATAATCTATCAAGTGGATATTCAGTAACTTAATCATTCCATGATTTATGAACATAATTCAGATGATTTCAATGTTTTTGACATTTTGAACAATTTTGCTTCTCCTGAGCATCTTTTGACACAGTTTAGGATAATTGCTAAACAGAGTTCCTGAACTGCATGGCTTGGTGAGTGAGTGTGAGCGCTATAGAAGACTTTGGTGGATGAAATAAGCTACTTTTCAAAAGTTCTAACTAATTTACACATTCACTAGGAGTGTATGAAAACCCTTGTTTTGCTCCATTGCCACAAGTCATTTTCAGAAATTATTTTGAAATAAGCCCAACGAAAAGTATACTCATTATTTACTATGCATTATTGAGCCCCTATTGTGTTCAGGCAGCTGTTGTATGCAATGAAGTTACAACTGAGTACAGGATTGACAAAGTATTGTCTTTATTGACTTTATATTCTATGTGAAATCAAATCACAAAACTTATGTTTCCTGAAGTGTGAGTATTAAAACATGTAATACAAATAGAAATTCGTGGGGTCAAATATACTTGGGAAACTCCAGACTCATCATTAAAATTAATTAAAAGTAAACAGGTTGCATTGAAGCAAGAAGACACCTTCTATTTTGTGCTTATCTCATTCGACTCCAACCCCCACAAATAGTGGTCTAAAATTATCAGAATTTTAGAGCTTATTAAGAGGTTCCACATATATGGTTTCTTCACATTTCGAATCTTGGGATAGTTGGAGGGTGTAGGCAGGCCTGGTATCCCCGATTTTATAGCTGGTGAAACTTCTCAGATGCAGCTTAGATATCATCTAGGAAATGACAAACCGAGTCTCAAACCCAGACACCTGCACCAGTTCATTTCTTCCTCACCCTGCTGCATGAGTGAACCAGTTAGGATGCATTCTTGATGTGGGACTTTAATGCAGGTGTATTTTAGTGACATGGACAAAGAAAGAAACATGGAAGCCCTGAAGCTTCATGTTCCTGCAGCCAAATCTCCCTTCTGCTTGCTCATGGATACCTGGAGACCCCTGAAATTGCAGGGCAGGCAAGGGCCCTGTATGGAAGGGGCTAAAAGACTGCCATACAAGCTTCTACACGAGAACAGAGTTGGGAAGGAAAATAGAATTATGCCTGGCAGAAGAAGGGAAGAGACTTAGCACTCTATCTTACAGCACTTTCCCCCTGTACAAACTCAAATCGTTTCAAAATTATTTTAAGAGCCAAAGCCAGTGGAGTCAAAGGGACTTGCTGAAGGCCACAGGCCAGGGTTTCAGTGAGAGCAAAATTCAGATACCTATCTTATCTTGCCTCTTTTTTGTTTTGTTTTATGCTGACCTTCAATTCAAACAAATATTGCTCACTGTATTATTTTCTCTACAAAGTCAACATGCAGTCATAGAAAGCACAGCAGGCCATCAGGAGACCCTCAACTGCAAGTGTTTAAAAAATGAAGCAACTCCCACAAGTACCCCCAATACGGCACCTATTTTACAGTCCTGTCTCTCGTTATTAATTCCTATGGTTTCTCGATATATGCTCGCTGTGAGTCTACTTTACTTTGGTCAGTTCAACCCCTTCCATTACTCTCCGTTACCTCTTCCCTCCCACCGCCCCCCACTCTGTACAAAGAATACATCCTAATTAAAAAAAACCGAAAAAACTGAAGCAACTTTCCCTTTAATCAAGAAAGAACCCTTCTCAAACTACACTAGCCAGAAATTCAAATGAGAGAAGAAATCCAGATGCAGAATATTCACAGCACTCACTTTAAAACAGCAGCAACTTTGAAACACAGATGAGCACAAGTGGGTGACTTTTTAAATGGCGTATTATACAGCCATTAAAACAAGGTTTTCAAAAAGTATTTCATGATGAAAAAATACTTAAGGATACAAGGAAAAATTTACAAACCACATTCTGTATTTTTCTACAATGAGCATGTGTCACCACTATAATAAGAAAAAAAGGGATGACACTGTCACTTGTTAACTACCCTTGCCCTTGAAAGGCAGCTGCATCCACTGTAGTTTCTCACACGAAAGGCAGTTGTTTCAAATTGATGAACTCCATGAAGGATTGAGAGTTGGACCAGAGGATCAATAAGGTTCCTTCCAAAGATTAGCTTGTGCATAGACTCCTCCAGCCTGTGAGTTTTCTTTAGCTTTGCAGAATCCAAAGTAAGGATAATATATGTTCAGAATAAAGGATAATAATGAGATTTTCCTTATGCGTTTGTAACACCCAATGGACCTGGGAAGTGTTTGCATCATTCCTGTATTTATTTATTTATTTGAATTGAATTCTCTCCAATTTTCTCTTTCTTTTGTACTTTTCTCTTTTGAGTTTAAGAACAGTACACAAGTGCTTTATAGCGGGACAGAGGCACTTCCTGTCTTGGGGCCACAGGCTAGCAGGCTGATTTAGAGCAGTTCCTTTGCATGTGACTTATCTTTCTGTTTAAACCCCAAGAATGGGAGCATGACCTGGGGGAATTGCAGTGGGTTTGTGGTCCCTGTCAGAGGTCTCTTGCAGAAGTCCTGTTACTCTGCAGAGGTCATTGGTCCAAAACCGACCAGGTTTTGATCAAGTCACAGTAGTGATGAAAATGGGAATGGGATTCTGGGTATCACATTAGTTTAGGCTCTCTGTCCTTAAGATTTGGTGCATTTGATAAGAGGGAAATGGTAAATAGAACACATGATAAATGGCATGGTGGGGTTTTTGGTCTTTGGAGAAAGCGTCAAGATGCTCTGCAACAGAAACCTCTCGGGTCTGGAGGGTGGCAGAGGGAGGACGTTGAGCTGCAGAAACAGGCCTCCCACCACCCTGGCCTAGTCCTCTTCCCTCCCTTTCTCTTTCACGCCTGAAGGTCTTGTTCACCTTGAAGCAGGCACCTGCGCAGCGCTCAAGGTCACCACGCTCCAGCCTGGAGCAGGCTTCTGCAGGGGATCGTTCTGACACTAGGGGGCGCCATCTCCCCACGCTGTGAACAGCCTCTGGGGTTGAGATCAATTTCTTTCCAGAGCTTCGGCTTCCAAACTGTAGCGTTGAGCTCACATTTGCAAGTAGGAATTAGAGCATTGTGAGATCGACAAACAAAAGGAATCCCTGGGAGATGCTGTCATGTCCTCGTCCCCTGCCTCACAGCATCCCCTCCTGTAAACCCGCCCCCCAGTCCCCCCAGTCCCCCAATATCCAGGCAAAGCCAGTCTTAAAAACCCCTAGCAACCACTCCTTCCAACGCTCCACTGTTCTCCTGGGTTTTGCTTCATTGTCTCCACAGAAAATGCTGCTGGGAGCAGGTCTAGGACTTTCTTATCAAAGTCCTTTTTCTTTTGGGGCTGGGACAGTCCAGGGGACAGTCACACCGTTAAATAGTGACAGAAGGAACAAGTGCTAACTAGTAAAGCAGAACATTCTTCTCTTGAATTGAATGAAAACACGGATTGTAGACTCCCCAGTGTGACTGTTTGGTGCCTTTCTGATGACAAGATGTGTCCCACAGTTTAGCTGTGTGTCCATCTATTTGGTGGCCCTTCCTGGGGACTTGAGGCTCAGGGAGACCCTCTGTCACTAGGGTCTGGTTATTATCTATTATTCC